AAACACATTACAGAATATATTAACAAAATAATAGGCTAACTATTCACCTGTGAAAGGGACAAATTCTAAAATGAAATGAAATGAGGTTTAACGTCCTATTAAAGACGATATATGCCATATATAAGTGTGCTAGAAGATAAATTTTGCCCGGACAGCGGCGCTACGTTCTACTCTCATATAGAATTCCCACTGTCAAGGGTTCTGTTGCGTTCACGCCAACGTGTACAATGGACCCAGTTTCGGCTTTCCGTCCTATCCCAACGATTAGACACTGTCCTTGCCAGGCCCCACGTCCTGCCCAGCTCCACTGATAATTGGAAACCACGTGGGAAAATCCCACTGAACGAACTCTCTCGGCAAACACCCGGATCGAACCCCAGGAAAATCTGGTTAACGAGCCTGCGCCTTTCTCGCGGAGCAACCGGGGCCACCGGCACAAATTCTAGATTATAACCCCACCGCGGATACCGGCACAAATTCTAAATTATACCCCCCCCCCCCCCCCCGCGGATACCGGCACAAATTCTAAATTATAACCCAACCGCGGATACCGGCACAAAATCTAAATTATAACCCCACCGCGGATACTGGCACAAATTCTAAATTGTAACCCCAACGCGGATACCGGCATAAATTCTAAATTATAACCCCACAGCGGATACCGGCACAAATTCTAAATTATAACCCCCCCGCGGATACCGGCACAAATTCTAAATTATAACCCCACCGCGGATACCGGCATAAGGCACAAATTCTAAATTATAACCCCACCGCGGATACCGGCACAAATTCTAGATTATAACCCCACCGCGGTTACCGGCATAAATTATAGATGATAATCAAATAAAACGTAGTGCACTGTCGTTTTCTCAGTGAACACCAATCAATATAAAATATTTAACTAGAGAAATGATGATCATTTGTTATTATCAAAAAATGTTGGCATTCTGTTGATCTGAGCTGAAATAAAAATCGTAAATCATTAGATGACTATCCGGAAGAAAGATTTTAGTGTAAAAATGATTTATTACCATGTGTTATTACCATAAAGTGTCGGATTAAGTTAAATCGTCAACACATTTGCTCGGAAATAAAGCTGTTTAGGCGGATAGCCATTTCGAATTAAGAACCTCTGATATAACACCTATTACCCCACTTTGATAGAAAGCTCGATCTCGCATTAACTCCGTTATCTTATCAAGCCCTTCACGTAATACCCGACATTTTTCAGCACTAAATTTCGATTGGTTCCTGACCCAACCGGGAACCTACCAGATTCCTCGATAGAAAATATCATTGCGAGTACCAAGTCGCACGCTTTCCAACTGATTTGTCGAGCTCTTGCAAAGTTCAAGGTACGTACAATATCAAGGTTGCTGAAACTTTCCGCTTTTCGGCTTTGGCCCACTTCACATCTTAGTCAAAACCTTTCTGTTCTATTATCCAAGTAAGGTTGCTTTTGATTGGTTTTCCGTGGGTTTTTCAACGGCCATAAACGAATTTATTTCTTTCCGTATTTGTATCACGTGTCTGTGATAAAGGGAGATAACTACTTAAAAGTTTGAGAATTTCAGACTAAGGTAGTAAAACTCACAATCGTTGCTTCAGGAACACACTATTATCCAGAATATGCGAGCGTAAATAGTGTAAATCAAGTAATTCTTTTGTTAAAAACCTTTGAGTCAATCTGCTGGAACCAAAGTTACAGGGATTGTTATTGTTATTATTACACGTATTTGATTTCACTGTACTCGAGAGCCTGGTGAAATCAATATGATCGATATATTTATTCCCTCGATCGTCATGATCCTAAAATAAAACATCACTTGGAAGACATATCTACATGAAATATATCTGATTTCAAGATCACTACGCCTTTCAAGATAGGTCAGTGGTTTCCAAGATCACCAAGCCTTTCAAGATAGGTCAGTGGGTAGGACGCTGCACCATTGCACCACTGTATGGCGCATACCCGTCTTCATTAGCCCATTTGGCGCAGAACAGTACGACGTTATACACAGTACACTTCGTTTCATTTTTCAAGATAGGTCAAACCTGTTTGACAATCTACAAAATAACATTAACGACTGTGTAGCCGCCAAATGAAAATAGGCGACAACTGGCGTCGTGTAAGTAATGATCTTATTACTTATTAATACTTATTATGAGTTTATGAATAGCGAGATAACATTATAATTTCCATGGTCATTAAAAGTCACATATGCAGGTAAAAATAAGTTTGAAGAGTTGAGAGAACTTACCTTTAAACCCCAATAGATTAATATTTTGTTGATAATAAGCCGAGTTATAGATTAATTACCATGTATTATACACACCCACCTGTTGAACAGCCGACACAAAGATTATATCATTAATTTATGAATTTGCATTTTATCATTAAATTATAATGTTACGATTTTAAATAGTATCTACTAATACAAATCATAGACTTTTACATCACGCATATCGGTTAGTTCTAAATATTAAGGCCAATTGCATATTTGATCAAGGTCATGAGGTGTAAACAGGGCTAACGCTAACCCTAACCCGTACCCTTAACCCACAATTTCTTCAACAACCACGTGCTCTAACGCTATTTACATCTCGCGAAATTTAAAGAAATCTGCACTTAGCCTTAAAGTAGTTATGTCTCTAACTCAGTATCATTCAAAGTCTTACACAATGAAAGCACGAATAATTTGTCAGGTCAAATCAACATTGATGTTGTAATCTTACCGGGAAATGGTAGGCTTCTGATATCCAATATTTAAGACAAAATAAACATTTTACCATTGGTACACGAATCGTGTACCATAGTGCGTTTCAGCGTTACTTGTAACAAGTGACGAGAAAGAACGAGGCTAGACACATTGAGCAACTCATGTCAAACGGTAACGCCAAATCTTATCTGGGGAGCATGCGCAATAGACTAGAATAAACAGACGCTAGAAATTGGCATTTGTTTGAGACTCATGCCGTATTTCACTGGACATAACTGATTTGAAATTGAGTCAAAACGGAAACAATTGAATGTAAATCAGTTCATATACAATCAGATTACATTATTATATGCGTTGCTACCCATTTCGGTCAATTTCTATGTCCCAAATATTAGCGACTTAGCTCCTTTAAAGCAGCTAAATAGTCATTCTTTGGTACCTAGAAATGGACATTATGAATGTATTATGAATGTATAAACTGATTTACATTCAATCGTTTCTGTTTTTACTGTAATTTCTACTCAGTTATGTTCGGCGAAATACGCGAGGAGTCCAAATTGAATGGCAGTCTTTGGTGTCTACACCGGTAGTTTTCTCCTGTGGAATATGTTTAGCCTTGTTCTTCTAGTCGATTCATTACAAATAACTCTTGAAAGCATTCTGAAAAGCGATTCGTGTGCCAATTTTAACATGTTTATTTTGTCTTAAATATTGGATATCAGAAGCTCATCTTTTCACGGTAAGACAACAACATTAATGTTGATTTAAATTGACCAATAAGTCGTGTTGGCAATGTCGAAGACTGTGGATGATATTGAGTTACAAACTTGGTTCTTTTAGTATTTAGACCTAATCTATGAATATCTCATAAACAAGGAAGCCCTAGCTGGATCCCGATTGTGGCGGAAACATATACCCTCTATGTTGATATTAAAATCTGTTTAAATGGCCACCATTGTACAATGTAATTTATTCGCTATCAGTTTAAATAATCACGTTGTGTGATAAATAAAAAAATCATTAACATAAATGATTTCCTAATTGCCTATGAACATTAATATTCCCGAAGTAATGGTTACGAGCGTTATCAGCTCATGAACTATTGATATGGCCTACTCACAATGATGTTTCTGGTTAGGGATGCTTTCTTGGCCCCCCACCCCCACACCTTAAATCCGCACCTGCATTGTCTCCACACCTCTTCTGTTGCGCGTTCGCTTATTTATGAAAACCAAATAAAGGGATGTAACTCGAAATAAGTATGTAAGATACAGACCACCATCATGACTATTACGGTAATTTTCTGTCCCATATCGGGTTCAGTGTTAATTCAATGACATTTGGTATGTTTTAACAATCCAATAATCTTAACTTTTATAATCACGAAGAGGCCACCATGTCACAATATACTGATACAAATATACAAGGGAGATGACCATCTCGACCATCTTGGGAGGTTGGATGGCCGAATGGTTAGCACATGCGCACTGTATCGTAAGGTCTGTCATTGAGTCAACTGGCATGGTTTCGATTCCCAAGTTGTACGTGACAAGGAGGAGGGTCGCCTTTCTAGTCTCGTGGGTTTTCTCTGAGTCCTCCGGTTTCCTCCCACTGCTAAAGACCCCTACGCATAACCGAATTATTGAAATAAAATTTAACCATATGTTAGTCCCGAGTTTTTGTCGAGTAGACGTTAAACCCCATTTCTCAAAATCATGACTTTTCACAGATATCGGGCAGAAAATGTAAATCAAAATACTCTTCTCCGATTCTAAAACTGGGTGGGGGGCAGTAAGAAAGAAAGAATAGATGATCTGCACTATTAGTCCTGTAATACTTTCCTCCTGTGACTTTAATATACCCACGCATACCTTTGAAATAAGCCTGTGTTCTTAATCTTTATATCCACAAAGAGCTCTAAAGGTCACAATTACTTGATAAAGTAACTTGAAAGATGTTCATCATCCACGAGATTGTATAAATAGGTGGAAACACCAGAAATAAAATGAAATGAAATAGGGTTCAACGTCCTACTGTTCTGCTCCGACTGGGCTAACGAAGACGGACATATGTCATACAGTGTGCTATGAGGGAAATTTTGCCTGGGCAGCAGCGCTATGGCCTACACTCACATCGAATTCCATCTGCCAAGGAGCTTTTCATGTGCACGACAATGTGTACACAGGACTAGACAGTTGACCTTGTCAGGCCCTCCAATTTTCGTGTATATTCAAATAAACCGTTGTATACATGAACAGATTGGTACACTTGTAGTTTTTATTTTATAATGGAATTATTTACAAATGTACAACTATGTCAAATACAAGTAAGTAAAATTTAAACACTTGCGACCAACGAAGGAATAACCCACGGTACTGGGTGGGTGTGTTGAACGACACTGCGGATAGAAAATGATAAATTAAATGTTGAATTATAAACAGAATATGTCAACATTTTCTTACTCTAGCGGTGTAGGTGGTAAAGTCTAAAAATTAGAGCCAACTGCAGATTTCGTCAAGGTCGTGAGATGTAAACAGGGCTAGGGCACGTGATTCTTGACGAGAATGTAGGTTAAGGTTTGGGTAAGGGCTAGGGTTAGGTGTAGTGTTGAGGTTTACATCTCCTGACCTTTGACCAAATCTGCAGTTGACTATAATATTTAGACCTAGCCGAGCGTGGGTGGATGGGTGGGTTCGTGGAGATCTATCCACGATTTACTTGTTTTGAAGCAAGTGTTGAAATTTTGCGACTGTCCCACGAAAGCTTTTATTTACGAAACGAAAATTAGAATGTTAGTCAAGGAGTTGCTGGTGGTGGTTGTGTGTAAACACGTGCATGTTGCACCGCGTCATTGACATCAAAAAAGATACTGTCCATGGGCAGTACATCAAAGAAATTACTATTTGCCAAGGCTGTGACTGTAAAAGGTGGCACTTTAGTCAGGAATATTTCTGTACCCATATGCCTATAGTCCACAACAAGCTGTCTTAATATATTTATACCCGTGATATCAATATAAGTGATATGACTACAATCTATAATTATATGATGGATTGTCTTCCCTTGTATAGGAGGCAATATCGCTAATTCTTGACCCTTTTCAGATTCCACTATTTCTAGCTTAACTGGGGTGTAGACTTGTTCGTACAGGTCTTTACGGAATATTTCCGCCGTAGCAAAATATAATTTAGAGTCAAAGGTGAATATTTTGACGCCGTGGACATCTTCTAAACCAACTCGTGATGATTTGTCCAGATACAGATCCTCGTCCTTGGCTCGGGCTAATAAATATCCCTTTGCCCATTGTGGACAACTGTGAAACATAACAGTTAAAATTGAAAAGGAGACTCCGAAATAGATCCCAATTTCTAAATCAGTAGCAAGACTTACACAGGCTGTCAATACCCATATAAGGAAATCTGATTTGCTGACCCTCCAATAATATGGTAGAACCCTAATAAGGGCGAACAGATCTTTCATGGCAACAATAATCATGGCTGCCAACACAGCTATGGGTAGATGGGAGAACAGCGGCCCAGCTCCTAGCAGGAGAACCAGGACGAACAGAGCCGATGATACACCACTCAATGTAGATTTTACCTATAATAAAATAAACAGGGATAATTATTCTTGAGCTCACAGGGGGTGGGAACGGTGGGTAGGGTAGTCGTGTGGTCAGTTCGAATCCGAGCAAAACCAGGGTATTTCAAGTCCTGCCTAGTCATTCAGATGGAATACAACTCGTGAGTTCGAAACTGCTATATTACGTAAATTGTTACCCATACAAAATTGTATAGCGAGTTAGTTATATATGGAGAGTCTTAAATCTGTCTTGAATCATTAAATCGAACAACAGTTCCAAAATCGTTCAGTAGTAACACAGATTTGGTGTGTGTGTGTTGGGGGTGGGGGTGGGCTGGCCGAATGGTTTAACGCTTGCTCTTTTTTAATCATGAGCTGTGTCAAGTAGCGTGGTTTCGGCTCCCCACGTCAAAAGGTGTAGGGTCGCCTGTCCAACCTTGTTAATTTTCTCTGGTTTACTTTCACAGCTAAAGACCCCTACGCGCAACCGAATTATTGAATTAAAAGTTGAACCATATGTTTGTCCCCTCTCTCGCTCTTTTTCATTAACAAATGTTTTAAGAATTGATAACCTTGCAACGTTCGACAGCCTCGGCAGTCGAATAAACATGATACGGCTAAAACGACCGAAAACGAATACGGTAAAAATGTATCTTAATCAAAATGGTCAAATGTTTGGTTAAAAGTTAAAATCCATGATTAAATTCTTAGTGGCCTCATTGGAATCCAAGCTACGGGATTATCTACCGTTGATATTTTGTTTTTTTAATTAAAGATAGATTAGTTAAGAGTTTAATAAAGAGTTGGTCATTCTTGCTATAATAATTCAAAAATAGATCATAAAAAAAGACAATATTGAAAATTTCATTTCAATTACTTTATTCTCAGCCAAGACATCATTGTTTGTAAGTTTGACAAGATGTGTGCACAGTGGTAACCAGGGCACTGGTATAATCGGGACTTACATGTAGGCTCGCTTTCCCATTTTTAAATTAAATTTTTAAATGGCGAACCGTTTTAATCTAGTTAAAATCTCGACTATCTGATGCGATCGAGAGTCCATTATGGTCTTTTTTGTGGTTAATAAATGTCTAATTAATAGTTTATATAACATTTCAGACAAACCTGTAATAGGCAGATTTAGCTCTTGCATAATGTATGTTTAATTAAATCATCAAAGTAAGAATATTTTACAGTGGATTTTAAAATTTGTCAAAATTAGATATATTCTGAAACAAACGGAAAAGACGATCAGTGTTTTTTAAGTTAAATCTTGACAAGATGTAGAGAGAGAGAAGGAGAGAGAGAGAGAGAGAGAGAGAGAGAGAGAGAGAGAGATGGGGTTTAACGTCCACTCGGCACAAACTATGTCATTTCGGGACTAACATATGGTTTTAATTTTGTATTCAAATAATTCGCTTGCGCGTATGGATGTTTAGCAGTGGGAGGAAACCGGAGGACCCGGAGAAAACCCACGAGGTTAGACAGGCGACCCTACCCCTTGTCACGTACAGCCATGGATTCAAAACCACGCCAGTTGTCTCAATGACAGGCTAACCATTCGCCCCCCACCCCCTACAAGATGGAAGCTCGGGATATTTTACAAAATAGAACTTAAATTACCTTTAACGTACTAAGCATTTCGGGACTAACATATGGTTTTAATTTTGTATTCAAATAATTCGCTTGCGCGTATGGGTGTTTAGCACTGGGAGGAAACCGGAGGACCCGGAGAAAACCCACGAGGTTAGACAGGCGACCCTACCCCTTGTCACGTACAGCCATGGATTCGAAACCACGCCAGTTGTCTCAATGACAGGCTAACCATTCGCCCCCCCCACCCCCTACAAGATGGAAGCTCGGGATATTTTACAAAATAGAACTTAAATTACCTTTAACGTACTAAGCATCATGGTACGGGGATGGGCTTGACTAGCAGGAAAACACATAAATAAAGAAGCAACTATGTTGGTAACACCATAAGCAAATGCTTCCTGATTATCGTCGATAGTATTGCCGTGAATCTGTGCACACAGTTTGGCCATTGATATTGTAGCTGTAAATATAACAACCGCTATAAGGAAACTATCAGCTACCACTCTGGTGAACATGTATCCTGATAGATCCGGCAGCTGGGGTGCTGGTACCCCAGATTTTACATCACCAACTATATCCACTCCTAGATTATACTCAAAGCTGCCCAATTTAGAAATGAGGGTAGCTAGTACCACAACTATCAGGTCAATAGGAACTGGTATCTTCATTCGATCTCTAAAGCGTTCATTCACACCGATATTTACAGCTAGAATTATAACTCCAGTAAAAACAGCGATCAGAAAATCAGCCCAGTTACCTTCGTGGATTTTGGAAAAAAGAATTATGTAGTACCTCAGTAACCGCCCTGGTCCAGAAACGATTCCAACCGATATATTGAGTGCTTTGCTCAGTTGGCTGGTTGCTATATAAATAGCACAAGCAAAGGTAAATCCTCCAATGAATGATTCCGAGAGGTACGTGGAGACGAATCCAAGACGCAGGATGCCCACTACCGTTAAAATGATCCCAACCACAAAACAAAGCGTCATGGATACCTCGACCTTGTAGGCCATCAGTTGATCTTGAATGGCTGGATCATTTATGGAAATATTTGAGGAAATATTCAGGGTGCTCCAATAAACAGCCTCTTCGCGCTCCACTACCGATGAGGTCATCATGGACACGATAGCGGTGGTTCCAAAAGATATATGAGGAGAGGTACCGAAAATAACATAGCAGATGAGTGGGAAGAAGGTAGTGTAGAGGCCATTGACGGGTTGAAGAGAAGCTAGGACGCCGAAGCCAAGAGCTTGAGGCAGGTGCATGAAGGCCACAGAGAGTCCAGCAATAAGATCATTCACAACGCAGTCTTTGATGTATGGTTTCTGAACTTCTGCAATGATTGGAATGAATTTCAAGAGAAATGAACATATCCTAGAGCAAGAACATCCCTTTAGAATGTCCTTCCAATCAACTGGTTTATCTTCACGCTTATAAGCAGCTTCCACTGATTCGTGTGTGTACAGCTTTCTCGTCAGACGAAGCATGGTGGTCTCTTTAGCGCCCTTGTTATCATTCTTGGCCTATAATTGAAATTGATTTAAATACATGTATTTGTATCAAAAATTGGGATAATTGTCAACATAGATTAATAAATTTGAGTAAATCAAAGCGGCGTAAAGGTTAATATTGTTCGAAAAATACACAATCGAGATCGGAAACTTTAATTTGAGTAAATCAAAGCGGCGTAAAGGTTAATATTGTTCGAAAAATACACAATCGAGGAAGGAAACTTTAATCTAAACTATTTTTTGTGACTGTCGCTTGTTTGTTTATCTGTCTGTTCAGGGTTGGCGGCTACACTAGGACTGTCCCGAGATTGAAATTTGTTGTACAGGGTTAGCTCGGACCGGGGAGTAACATAGGTCTGGTGGAGATGGAGTACCACTTCTGGTTGCAGAGTTATGCTACTTGCAGTGCATGGCCATACCCACGCTACGCCGTTTCTACCGCTAGTATTTAATAAATGTACTTACATGATCATCGATTGTGTCGGGTAAATTAACCATTGTGGTCAGCTGGCATCAGTTTAGAATAAACAATTCTTATTTAGTTCCAAAGAAGAGGTTTGGACATTTCAATAAAATATACCATCTCTCAACTCTGATTCATGTGGGAAATAAAACATTAATTCAAATATTACATCTAGGGCTAAAGCTTGAAATATTAACCTATCAAAATTCAATCTAGATATTTACATTTTATCTATCTTAATGAATCACATAGTTCATCAGTTAAATTATTCCAAGATTGTGCGATAAAAAACATTTAGTAATATATTAACATAGAATTATAGCGTTAAAGTACTATAGGTTTATTCCACTCACTAACCAGGGGGTAGCGGGTTCAATTCCGTTACTGGCCAAGAACGTTCCGTAGGATTTACAGCGTGGGTTCATCTTGTGTGTTTGGACCAGGATTTTTGTATTTCATCCATGGCCAGTTCCTGGTCTATAGTACGGTCGTGCTTGTTCTTTTATTATAAACACTATTTTCATTCGGATTTGAGCTTAGATAGAGGTACAGGTTATGCCTATGAGTAACACCTCTCTTTGATTAGATACATGTACACAGTATAATTATATACAGTATACATACATACATACTATAGAACACATAGGGTATATAATGGATGATATAGAGACATTTATTTCATAATTTTATAATTTATTCTGAAAGTAATGTTTGGTATTGGTTCTTCTTGTTATTGTTCTAGGATTGGCAAGCTGACAAGGGACATTGTCTAATCGCTCGGATGGGACAAACCGGGAGGAAAATGCCTGTATTCTGTTTTCCGGTTGGTATAGAACCACATTTCATCTAATTTTCATGTCGTTTGATATAATAGGACGTTATTAAGATTTCATATTATTTTTTAATAGTAATTTCTGTAATAGATATTGTCTGTATGATATTTATGATTATGAAAATAAGATTATGGACACAAATTGCATAAAACGCACATAGTATATTATTAATATAGACTAAAATCACAATACGTTAAAATTATAAACTACTATCCACCACTGTTTGAATACCAGCTTCTTCTATCGTCGTACTAGTTGTTCGGGATGGGACGAAAAACCGAGGTCCCGTGTACATATTGGCGTACACGTAAAAGAAACCTTGGCATTTGGAATTCGATATACTGTAAGTGTAGGCCATCGCGCCACTGTCCGGGCAACATTTCCTACACGGCACAGTATATGGCGTATGCCCATCTTCATTAGCCCAGTAGGAACAGAGCAGTAGGACGTTTAACCTCATTTAATTTCATTTCCATCGTTGCAAGTTACATAGTAATCGTTCTTATACGGTGGCATTCGTTGAAAAAGCAACGTGTCATTGATAATGGGGTGAAATGAAATGGGGTTTAACGCCCACTGTTCTGCTCCGATTGGGCTAATGAAGATGTGCTATGAGGGAAATTTTTCCCGGACAGCGGCGCTACGACCTACTCTTATATCGAATTCCAACTGCCAAGGGATCTTTTACGTTCACGCCAAAGTGTGCAAGGGACCTCAGCTTTTCGCCCCAACCGAACGACTAGACAGATGTCCTTTTTAGACCATCCGTCCTGCACCACTGACAAAGGGAAACCACGCTGGCGACCTCCAGGGATGAAATGAAATGCGGTTTAACATCCTACTGTTCTTAATCTATCGGGCTAATAAAGATGGGCATACGCTATGAAGTGTGCTGCAAGGGAAATAAATTTTGCCCGGGTAGTGGCGTTTGCGCCTACTCCTCGTCGAATTCCAACTGCCAAAGATTCATATACATGTACACTGGACTTGGACCTGCGCCATTCTTTATTGACAGTCTGAATTAATTGTGAGGTTATCTCCCTTCATATGTCTGTTATATTTTTGTTTGTAGGAAAATCGTCCACCAAAAATGCAATATTTTATCTGGGCAGGATGATTTAAACTGCAATAAGTTTATCTTTTTGACATATATTCAGATTGCAAAATACTTTTAAGTTTTGATTGAAAGTTAATTAAACGAGACTCTGTAGTTTGACAACTGCCCTGATCGTGAGGTTGAAATCTGCCTATGTTCTGACAGACATATGTTCTCATCTCCAATCTACCCCATTTTTATACGAGATGCGTGTTGCGCCCCATCCTCGGTATCCCCATAAACTTGAAGAAGCGTACTAAAAACATGTAATTAATTGCCGTACATATCACCGTAGCTAACCTCATAACCCCGTTATCCTTCCGCCTCAAAATCATGAATATTTACCAAAACCTGGCAGAAAATGTTAATACAAACCCTCTTCGTCCATTCTAGACCAAAAGATCAACAAAAATGGGCATGCAAAAGGGGAGAAAAGAGACAGAGGGAGAATTGCTATAAATAGACGAACTACAATTTGTGGGTACCGAGATGTTGAAATTTAATGGTGGTCTGCTTCCATGGGGTTTTCACGAATTCAAATTATCTGCTCGTGATCGTAGGTCGATTCTACGAACCAATCAAATAACAGATTACATACGAGTCTTCGCACTGATCAGCAAAGTTTGTAACACCGATTCGGCTATCTAAGTTACAAAATGCCTATTTAAAACCAGTTGAGGTGATTTATCCCACCAGGGCTCTTGTTACACATTAAATAATGAATCTCCTTCGCATATATAACCTGGCATCAACTTATCTCAAAATGTAAGACAGAACTGTAAAGTAGCCTAGTTAAACGGGGCGAAAGACGGACTAGGGGCTAAGTGAATGGACACAATGTCGCGCTTTGCGTCATGAATTTAGAGTTTTCCGACCGCCTTACTACTAACAATCCCCACTATTGGACGCTTTTCCTCATGTAAAATCAGCGGTCACAAAACTATTCCGACAAACAAACTGACGACATAAGCCCTTTGGCTATAACAAAAATTACTGAAGCTGTTTTGCGTAATACCCTGCATATTTCGACACTAATTTCGATTGGGTACTCGTACAAGCCCAGCTTGTCAGCCTAACAGATTCCTCGATCGTCGTGAATACCAAGTCCCGCGCTTTCAAGCTAAAATGTCTACCTATGATAATCGAGTTGCAAAGTTCAAGGTTCATTCAATGTCACGGTTTCCGTGGAGTTCCGCGATGTCAAAACCTCTGATTGGATGCTAATGCTCACGTGTCTGTAGATAACATAGCTATAAGTTCGGAATTGTAAAGTAAACAAGCAACTTCCAGATGTTGTAAAACTCGTAGTCTTTGCTTCAGGAACATGTATATATGAAAGATCTTTAAATGTAAATATTTTATTGAACATGATATTATAAACAAATCAATGAGTATAGTAATAATCTATATAATAATACATCTAGCTTATTTTCTATAAAAATAATTTATATATAAATCTATATTATTTTAACAGACTCTACTTTCGTTTTGTTTTTATCAATATCAATATATAGTCTATATTTACACAAATAATTGCACAAATGTCTTCATTTGAAAAGCGCATTAACAAACATACATGTGCATACAGTTTTGACATAGTAATAAAGGCCAGCTATCACCAAAGCCATTTCTTTCCGGATTTAAAATGCAAGTTTTCCACTTTCCAATATTGGCGTATCCTGTTGTTGCTGTGCACAAGATACGTTGTTTCCCAAAACAAATCTAAAGAAGTGCCGAGTTGATTTAAATGCAACAATAGTTAACCAACTTTTCAATGGCTAACTTTGTTTAACACTAACTACATGTACCTGACTAATTGGATGAGAAATGGCCAATAAGATGTCTAGATTTAACGAAACGAAGCAATAATTACAGACCTAAATAAATATGTAAATATAATTTGACACAACCATTTTGATTTAAACTAAAATAAATATTTTTTAGTAGATTTTGATTTTCAAAAATAATCTATTTACAATATAATACAATGACAGTAATATGGTGGGTACAATAGAAAGCTAATCAAATGAAAGGTTATTAAATGAAATATGTTTAAACGCAAAAATCTGATTGGATATCATTGACGAACTATTGCTTAAATTCCTCTTTTTATGTAGATCATTAGCTATTAATAGAAATTGTTTATAGGGGTCTTTATACGCGAACCTTAAACCGACCAGACCTCTTTGACATGGGTCAAAACAAGAAGCAGCGGAGAGGAGGGGGGGAGGAGGGGTGGAAAACACCAGCATGGATTTCAGTTTTACGGTTTAAAATTGTACGTCTATATATGAACATAGTAGTCTTAAGATATAACCGATGCTGTGTTCGACTGTCGACACAGTAAGCATTAAATGAAAGTACAATTAGTACTAGTAGCAAATCGACCAATCTGATTAAAACACATATCCTATTTCGTTTCGTTTGTTTATAGTTCAAAATTTCGTTTTAATTGTCTTTACTACACTAGGATCTGGAAGAGTTGTTATATAACCGGCGTTCTGGATGACGCGAGGGATTAGCCGAAGAAACGGTTTGTTACGGAACTGTAGCTATACCACTAGAAACATCAAGGCTAATTGATTAATCAATGTCTGACATCATAAGGTCAAAAGCCGCTCATATGACACCTGAAGCGACCTTCCACTACAACCGGTCAAATCTTCAGGTAGTGTAGGCCATCGAAAATATAAAATATGGATCTGTATTTTAATCAAATTTCAAATCGATTTTCTCGTAATAATTTGAAAACACATTTAATAGTATTGAGTGTACCACATCACTCATTGAACTAGCACAACATATCAACCCAACTCAATACCATTTTTTTAAGATAATCAAAGAGGCTTTGTTCATTTAAGAATGTTCAGATGTCGGCATGATATTGTTTATTGTCCCCCGCCTTTCGAAGAAAGCAGGGGACTATTAAAATGCGTTCGTCCGTCTGTCCGTCTGTCTGTCTGTCCGTCACACTTTTGGTGACACAATAGCTCTCTTTCTAATTGAGCTACAATGTTCAAACTTGGTGTAGGTGTTTATTAGGTCAATGCCTTGTATTAATAAGGTACCTTCAGGACAAATTGGATCGTTTAATCATAGATCCTAGTTCCGAAAAAAAAACGAAATATTAATTATAAAGACAAATGTCTGTAGAGCTCATAAAATGTTATTTATTTAATATAATGCCACTTAAAGATTATAGAAATATATGTCTGATGACATCGACACCTGCTTCTCTAGGGTATTAATTGTTAACAACTTGAGAAATTGTTCTAAGCAATGATTCAAAGAAATTAACGTATCTAAATACAAGTCTCCACCCTACGGATTGTTTAGAGGGTTAAAATTTTTAACAAGTCTTGAAATTTCTCTTAGGAAAGATTCAATGAAAATAATGTGAATACAAGTCTCAACCCAATACATTATTCAATAATTAATGGTTAAATTAGACAAGAAAATAATCAGCGAAAGTTCGAAAAACTAGAATCTGGAAGGTAAAGGGATAAATGCACATATTATATATTAGCTACAACATGTCATTTTAAAATATATACATATATATTCCTCTAAATCAAATATGCATGAAGCAATTATTGGTATAAATATACGCCATTTTAGGGAGTCAAAAACAAGATCACAACAAAAAAAAACGTCTAAAACAACGCCACAAAATACATTAACATCATAAGTAACTGAAAATATGAACAATTAAACGAAATAATATCAATTTTTATGAATATTCACAAGAAAATTTCAACGCACACGTTTGTGTTCTTAATCGTTAATCGCAGATCTATCAACTTCACGAAAACACTGGTCGTACAAGGTTCTTCCATTCTGATTTAATATTGTGTCACAGGTCAACCAATTGATTATATATTCAAATGTTTTCACATATTGGTAATCACTTTAAGATCACTGTTCATTAATCGATTATCGACACATCGATTCACTTCCATTTATATCAGAATCAATTCACCGAAATATCGCGATATTTCACAGTGTCCACATCTCTAAAAACTTCCATGTTCACACAACCAGTTGCATCAAATCGGCACAGACCAATATACCGTTTCTGAATTCTACTGACAAGTATTGTAAATCCACGATCGGTACGACACTAATGTTTCTCACTTTCTGAATAGGTCACATACGTCATATGAAATTTATGCATACATGCCTGCCACGTCATCAGACGGATTGTTTAATTGTATTTGGTAGTTACACAATTAGAAACATTATCTTGTGTGAACGTCTGGATATTCACCTATCAGCTCCACTAGAACTATCATCCAGCTCTCTTGGGCTGAAATATAAAGAAAAGTGATTTCCATAATTAAAAAATAATTGTATAAAAATGAAATGTGGTTTAACCTCCTGGTCTGTAGCATAGCAACAGCGTGAACGTCAAACCTGTAAAGGGATGTATGGAATGGGCATGGGTTTATTTATTATCTCGTCAACCCACTACTTCGCTAATTTTCAACTGTCAAGGGATCTATCACGCGCCCAATTGTGTACTCATTTTGCTAACAATTTTGTATTTAGAAAGTAATGGCATTCGAATCCATATAATACACGACTCGTGTACTGATCATAATATGTTCATTGTGTCTTAAATATCGGCTATTTGGATCCCATTTTTTCACTACAAAATAACAACATCAATATTGATTGAAATGGACCAATATCGAATTCTAATTCCTGTTTGTAATTTCGAATATTATGGAAAATATTGAGTTAGAGGGTTAGCTCCTTTAACATAAATATATTGAAATTAATGGATTATTCTGTAGGTGTATATAATGGTTATAACATAAACGAATATAAATATGCATTGATACACCTTTAGCAATTTAACCCATACACGCCTTTAAATAAAAATGTACCCAATGTAACGAGTGGTATTTATTATTATACAATACATGTTTGTTTCTTTATAGTTCAGTTAACCACTTATAAAACCTTCCATATAGACAAAATGTAAATACATATTTCTTTGATCTTCAATGGGGTTGTTATTAAAATGCTCATTGATGGCGTTTCAATTGGATCAAGGATATGGAACATTAAAGAATATGTCTTAAACATTGGAGGGGCTCATAATAGGACTAGGTCAGACCATATTTTTAAAACAAGAAGGGGCCTCTCTTTTTTCTTCACCTTTAAATTGAAATAAATTTCGGTTCAGTCCATGTCACAGCAAATTAGTTCTCACTAGGGATGAAGCTTGAAACAGGAGATTTCTATGCCACCATGCAATATGATTTCCGGGTAGTAAGAAACATGATATGTTTTTCGATGACCTTTTCCGGAACGTGGTGAGACAGGGGCTTTAAATAACGATATATATCTATGAATAAAACAGGTTAATTGCATGTAAGGAAGGATCTTGGAACCCCGTATGTTCTTCTCAAGCAAATGTTACATAAATTTTTATTATTTAAATATTCATACATTTATTAAAAAGAAAGACCCGTTGTCTGATCTCTAGGGTATCCGATTTGAAGTAGATTAGAACACCCACTGTGGTCATTTACGAGTTCAACGATAAAATAGATAATACTAACTTCACCTTGGTTGTCAAGTACGTTGATGCGATAATATTTGGTCAAAACTTATAACTTCGCAAAGAGAGAGATAGAGAGAGAGAGAGAGAGAGAGAGAGATGACCTTTAGCAGTGGGAGGAAACCGGAGGATCCAAGAGAACCCCACACTCAATGACAGATCTTGTGAATTCACGCACACGCGTTAAACCACTAGACCACCTCAATCCCACTTACATAGAATAAAGTAGCGTAATTTGACAGAAATTATTATAGCAAGAACGACTAGCCCTTTATCTAATTCCTACATAATGCAACTTTAATTGATAGTTGGACAATCAGGTGATATAGTCAGAAAAATAACCTAGATTATGTGCCTTTTTTCATGGGAATAAATTCTTGGGCTACCAGTAAAAGCCTTTGAATACTGAACTTTAAAGGGTGAAGGCGATTATTATATATTTACTTTAAGGTATAGACTATCCTCTATGTCTTTGATAAATGTAATAACAGGTTGTTAAGACTTTCTCTTGGGGATTTCTTTATATAGTCAATGACCATAATAGATGCTAGTTGTATATTAGTATATCAAAGATCGTTGAATAAGTATATATATATATTTTTTCTATGGCCCCATGGTCTAAAGTCAATATTTATCAAGTAAGCATGACCATTTTAAACAAACATCATAAAAAATAAAATACAAGTTCGTCATATAATTGATACGATGAGTGTAGTGTCTATTGAAATGCATTGATAGGTAAAGGGGAACAGCGATCGTAAAGCCACTTGTTGTATTAATATAACGCTTCACTGATATTTGGAGTCGACTTGAAAAATAAATTAAAATGTTACAAGAATACCACCAGTGACGACTAAAGGGGTTAGACTGTCCGACAAAGATCTTGCTTTCGATATATCTTTTTTTTCAAATTTTAATTTAAAAATCACAAAACTAAAAAAAAATACTAGTTTAACAGTTATCATAACTTTGGAAAATGAAATGAATGGGGTTTAACGTTCGTTTTCCTGCATCGACAGGGCTAATGAAGACTGACATAAGCCATGCAGTGTTCTATGAGGGGAATGTTGCCCGGACTGCAGCGGTTCCGCGTTAACTATTCCTCCATTTCCATTAATCAATAAATCTCTAAGATGCACAACAAGGCATGCACGGGTTGACCTCGTTGTTTTCCTGCTCATACAAAAGACTAGACACTTTCTTTGCCAAGCTCCACCCACATCCTGCACCACCGGCAAGGAGAAGCCAGTCTGAAAAATCCCGAGTATCTTGCTCGACCTACCACCGTGATCGAATCCGGAACCTTCTGGTAAGTGACCTAATGTCAAACTCGCCGAGGCGGCACTGGCTCCATCTTTTTTTATTTTAATGTTAACGCGAAAATAACAAATAATTTTTTTTTAGAATTGGTAAGTGTGAATATCGCTATGCAATGTTATACTTTGTTAGCTATGTGAACTCACTCAATTTTGAAGTGGTATCAGGTGTTCTAGAAAAGGTTGTATTCCATCAGTTTCATTATAAATAAAATTTAATAATCGTCATCTATGAAGCGATAATTTCCGCCTATTTTCGTTAAATAATTAAAAGAATGTCCAAAGAAACTATCTTCGATTGATGTCAAAGCAAATTATCGATTTGGCGCCATCTTAAAATTTCCGTTTCGATTTGACAAATACTAAAAAACTAAATAAAATATCAATTTAATTCCATCCTGAAAATTTAAATCAAAAATTCAAAAACATTATGCAGGCGCACCACCAATAACTCTTGTCCCTTTAAATACTATTTAAACGCCATGATAATCTTCCCTAGTAAAACTACAAACTACAAAAGGCCTTTTATAGTATCCCTGGCCGACTGCCAAGTTTATTATTTGTATATAGATATATTCTATATTTTTCTTTCACGGATGATGGACGTGACCTATACAAACATACCTAAACTTACACGATATTTTATGTTTACTCTTAGTTTTCTTTGTATACACTTTCTATAAGCCGTCTTATAGTTCATGGCTACCAGCATCCAGCAGCAAATAACCCAAGGTGTTTTCATTTGTTGATCATGGATTGATATTTTTTTGTGAAACCTCTATAACTAACAAGGTTATTATTTGAACAGGTTGTAAAGATTAAAATGACTGATGTTGAACGTTACACGAGTAACATAATACGTTGAGGTTTTTTTTTATACTGAAAATACAAAATGTACCCACTACGCAGACCTAAAATAGAATTGAAATGGAGTTTAACGTCCTACCTTTCTACACTAACCCGACATACGCCATGTATGTAGGACATTTCATTTACCAAGGGTTCTTTTACATGTACATACAGTGTACCATGCGGGATATTTTGCCAGGACAGCGGCACCACGGTCTGTTCTTAATTCGACTTCCAACTGACAAGGGTTCTTTTACGTACACGTCAACGTGTACACGCGACCTTGGTTATCGTCCCACCCGAACGACCAGACGCCGTTCCTTGCCAGGCCCTCCGCCGTGCACTACTGACAAGGGGTAACCTGTTATGAAAGATTCACATTTTCAACTTTGGAACTGCTCCTTTAAGTAACCCCCGTACTGATGTACTTATTAACTTATTACTATACAGTATAGGTCAATAAAATATAGGTATAAAACATTCATATACTTCTTATTCATTGATAAACCTCTAATAATGGTGTTGTAAGCATTATTTCATGACACCTATCGTAAGAAACCCCCCATGGTCTGAAAAGGTGTTAGTAAATGATCATTTAAATACGAGCGTAAGGGTGATGAAAGGCACGTGAAGTAGTCATTATATATCAAATAGTAACATACGTATTATAAAATACCGTTATTCACAAAGCAAGTAGAGTGTATTCGGGTATGATTTATGATCAGACTCATTCGATAAAACCTGGCGTTATTCAAAGGACCACAAGGCGATATCTACATAGTTGGAAACGGGCATTAACCCCAAGCTAGTAGTAGAAGATACTTGCCCTTAAATCCAAAGATAATCGAAAGGCGTAAGGAAGAAAACTTGTTTGGAGTAGCATAATTCTGATATCTTCAGAGATGATTTAGCGAGATCTAATTTTTGATCAGTTCCTTTATAATTGTGTTTTTACATTCACAGCAAAATGGAAATTCATTTTTTTACCTATCAATGAAGATCGCAGAAGAGCTGATCACCATTAAGAATATTTTTGACTAGCATGTTAAGAGTACATGGTTGTATATGACTATTATTTGGGTATGGTTTCCCTTTAAATTGCCGCAATTTTTTCTATTAGGATGAATTGACAGTGGATGATGAAATAGTGTTAGATATAAACTTGAGAAAAGACAGTCGAGACACCTTTTAATATATGTCTATTGATATACTGTGTCACATCAGACTGTAATTTATGCTAATTATATGTTTGAGAGATACATTCATTAATAATTAGTTATTTTATATAATTATGTTTGACAGACATAAACACGTCACATATTTCGCACAATTTATCCTTTTATTCCCCATAAAAAAATACAAAAAAAGCTCGAAATCATTAGTTTTTTTATTTGTACTTTCATTACCCTCGTGTTTACGTAATTAAAATGTCATTAAGTACATGATAAAGTATGGCGCATTAAATGCTTTGGGTGAACTTTTAAACATACAGTGAAATCGCGACCAATGATCAGCCCAGTCTTACGGACCACTTACTGGTCCTAATAGCATGATTTCACTGTGTAGGCGTCTGACTTTGAGCAAAATCGCGACCAACGATCACCCCAGTATTACGGACCAGCGGGATTAGTTTTTTTATTTGTACTTTCATTACCCTCATGTTTACTTATATTAAAATGTCATTAAGTACATGGTAAGGTATGGCGCATTAAATGCTTTGGGTGAACTTTTAAAAATACAGCGAAATCGGACTGTGTAGGCGTCAGACTTTCAGGTTACTCATATTGTTTAAAATTAAAATTGAAATAACTACCGCATAGCGTATTGCTATAATCACGTGTAAAGACTTTCATTATACTGAATTTCATTATCACTTACCTCAAAGACGGATAAGCCGGGTTAAAGATGACAGTTTTAAAACCAGCATCATCGTATACAATCTGACCGCTAGTTGGCGTCACCATGCTAGGCACCGGTATCTCCCGATTATCTTCTACTTGTACTCTAACAATTCCTTGGTTTGTTTTAGCAGGACTCAGTTGGTCGTCCACCTCCTCGTCACTAGAATAATACACCGGATTAGCCCTTTGTTCTCCTGAATTTTCCGACCTCTTTTCCTTTTTGGATTTTGATATAACATTCTGTGGACCATGATGGAAGTCGGTGAGCAATGTTCCTATTGACGCATGATCCAGCTCCATTTGGGCTGGCCTTCCATTAGACATGATATCTATCATTCTCTTTTTCTCGAAGGACATCTGTCCATTTAAAGACATCTCAGATCCGTGCATTCGGACGGGTCCATTGGATATATGATTCATCATCGGCTGCTTCTGATGAATCTTGGAATCGTCCATAGTTTTTCCTCCAAAGAGCATGGACAGATCGGGTCCCGGAGCGAGGAACATGCTCTGGGTATGGTGGGATCGTATAGGACTAGAAGGAGTGACAGAGTTTAACAAATATGCCCATTGCTGAGAAGTTGAAGGTGGGGATACCCCCATCATCCTCATATAGTCACCCATTTGATTCATTTCGCTCGAGGTAAAATTGTTTGGCATGGAAGTCATAGTTTGATGGATGGGGTTATAGTTGATTCCCAGAGCTGGTTGTTGAGGTATATTAGAAGTTAAAATGGGATTGTAAGTGGTGGAAGGCTGAATCAAATTATGAAGACTCTTGTGATGTGTTGGAGGTACGCCGATGCCTTGTTGGTTTTGGAGAGCTTGAATCTGTTGCTGCATTTGTTCAGATTGAAGCTTCTGTAATTTTTCCTGACTACTCAGATCTCGAAGTCGCCTGTATTCAAGTTCCATTTCCATCTGTTTTACTCTTTCTCTTTCCATTTCCAGTTCCTTTTGTTTGATTTGTTCTGCAATCTGTTCTTCCCACTGTTGCCGTTCCTGCTGTCTAACTGTTGATTCGTAACTCAATTTCTTTTTCTTTCTCCTATGTATTTTAGGAGCTCGCCCTTCGTTTTCCTCCTCGTCAGCTCCTGTGGTAGTCGAGGTAAAATCCGGTAGCACTACTATTTGACCATGTCCGCTAACATACGCAACTCCAGCGCGTTTCAAGTTTTTAACATCCTGTTCACTAGCAGGAGGATCATCAGGTAAATCGAATCTTATATCCTCGACGCCCATTCCACCGGAATCTGAATCTTCACTGTCGGAATGCTGTCTGGAATTCGCCGTCGGGTACGACTGACTAACGTTTGTAGATGAAAGTCGCCAGTTTGTTTGGTCTGTTTGATAATCCCCTAAATCAGAATTTCGTTGACGTCTTAAAAGTTTACCAGAAGCTCTACTTAAAGATCCAAAGGCGTTTTTGACACCCTTGTGAACAGTCTTTTTAAGTTTACGGATGCTGCCATATTTATTGGCATCATCCGGCACAGCCACTGCTTGCTTATATTTGCGATTCTTTTTATCTGGTCTTTGAAGACTTCCCGTTTTGAGATCTTGTACTTTTCCAGGTATAATTTGTGATTTGAATCCTTCAGATGTTGTCCGCTGATGAGAATAAAATACCTGATCAGTCATATCTTCGTCAGAGCCAAGATCATCCTCAGGAGTCCAATCCTTACTAAAGTCAGAGCTTTGCGATTTCACAATTGACCCGTTTTGTTCGCCATTTACTGTATGTGTGCTAGAGCCTAGGTTATTTATACTACTTAAACTTTTAACTTTCTTTGGGGCTACCTTAGGAGGGATTTTAACTGGAGAGGTAACACTCACACTTCTTGTGGGTGGTTCCATGTGTTCGCTCGGCTCCGGTTCCTTTTTACTAACAACAACGCGACCTATTTGTGCCTGGAATCTTGTTTTTGACATTAATTCGTCGATACTCTGTGACCGCTTCATGCGATCGTCACGATCAGTCAGAGCTTTGCTCAACTGCTCCTTAAATACAGCCTGTTCATCTTTTGGTTTTGATGGAACAGGCGTTGTCTGTTTCACGATTCGCGAGCCGCGGGCTTGGGCGGCTAATATTATATCATGCTGTAAAAGTGAGCTTAGTTTCTTTTGATTGGTCTCTTTGGTGGGCGTCTTCATGGTTGTAATTGTCTCGGTCTGTTTCAACTCCTCGGTATTAGAGGAGTGGCGTTTGACTTCCGACACAACTTTTTCGATTGTTTCTTCTACTTCCTTTTCAGCTTCAATCGAGACGTCCAATTTTGGTTTCACCTCTTCCATTTGTACACTGTTAGTATCGGATTTCGTTCTTGACTCAACAGAATATAAGCTTATGTTATCTGACATTGTTGATATGGTGTCAGTTGACATAGAAACCACTTCATCCCTTTGTTCTTCTTTCTCTTTTTGTTGTTCTTTCACATCTTGTTCCTTCTCTTTTTGTTCTTTTTCCTTTTTTTCTTCTGCCTCCTTTTGCTCTTCTTTCTCTCTCTGTTCTTCTTTCTCCTTTTGCTCTTTGTCCTTGTGTGTGTCTGCATCTTCTGTAAGCCCTTTTTCTATCTTCTCCTCGACTTGATCGCGAACAGACTGAAGTCGAAGCTCAAGCTCTGAAAGTTGGCGTGCGGGTTTGGGCATAACTGGTGGTGATTTAAAAGAATTTGAACGCGACACCGTAATTTTAGTGACACCATTTGTTCGCGGAGAAACCCCGCCAGGCGTTGGCGCCGGGCCTTTCTTCCGCGGAGTCGACGAAGGAGTGGATCCGTTGGATGCAGTTGAATATGATGAATCGGTTGAAAGTTGTCGCTTGGTTCGGGGCATGGAATTGGTTTGAAAATCTAAATTGTAATCAACAGGAGGTTCAATGATACCGTTTTGATTAGGTGGTTGTGGTGCACGCTTCTTTTTCCTTTTGCTTACACCAGTGTCCGACGAGCTAGCAGTACTGGTACTACTTGCAACAGAAAACGATTTAGTTTTCATAGATGGCATGTAGTTGTAATGATCAAACGGTGACGGTTTAGCGTTAGACTGTACTGCAAGATCATCACTAAGGTCAGATATCTTCTTGCCCGTTCTTCGTTCCAGTTCTTCGAGGGTTGATTTTCGTCGCGCCTCAGCTAGTTGGGCGTAAGTTAAATTAAACGACTCGTCCATTTCGAAATTACTTTTGACGGGAAGGGATGATCCACTAGGTAAGGAATTAGAATAAGGATCCTTTCTCCATTCATTATACAAATGTTCTCTTGGATCCTCAAAGATTGTGCTCTCGTTATTCAACAGACTCGTAGTTGTGGACTGCTGACGGCGGTGGCCCTTTATCTTCGCATTTCGATCGAGAGAATTTGTTCGAGTATGACTCACACCGTTTATCACTTTTCCATTTGGTATCTCCATGCCATTGATGGTTATATCATGCTCAAATATTCCAGAGTCATTATTCCCCGAGTCGCCATTACAATAATTGTTATCGCCGTTACTAAATTTCGAATTTCGTGGAGTTGAAACACCATTGGGTGATTTCACATTGTTTTCAAAACCTTTCGAAATCTGTATTTTTTTGTCTGGGGTCACGATGGGTCCATCCAAATTTTGCTTGATTGGTGTTTTCTGTGTATTATCCTGGTGATTTTCTTTGTCTCCGTCAAAATCCAATGCAAATCCTTCATCAGAATCCTCCGCTTTGTAGATATCGGCGATCTCTGGCATAAATTTGCTTAGCTCCTGCGAAACTGGACGCAAATTTGATCTGCCGTCCAGGGGTATGTTTCCCGGAAGCACTTTATTTCCCTCGACGACATAATTTGGTATTTTGGGCTGTGGTGGGGCTGCTGGGCGTTTTGGTGGGCCTTTTGTTTTCACGGATTCGGACCTTGTAATTGCCGTGTTGGTCGACAGATTAAGCTGTGCACTCGAATTCTGTCCCATTTTGCTTTAGTTCATCTCCACAATTCCTGAAAAGACAAACATAGAATAATAAATAGAGGGTAACTTATTATGACGTAACATCATATTCCAAATTCAGTTATCTCGAATAAATGAAATGAAATGGGGTTTAACGTCCTACTTTTCTTCTCCTAACCTGGGCTAATGAAGACGGTATCTCGAATAAACTTTTGTCGCCCGAAATATTGAGGAATAATGGTACCAAAATCATAAAAGCAGTCAAAATAACTTGATTATGTTGTAGATCTCCTTGTGAGAAAAACACACGGAGTATCCTAACTAGTTCAAATTTAGAAGAAGGTATTTTACTCAACTGTTCAACAAAAACCAAGAACGTACATTACATTGAACACAGCACAGTCAATCCCAAATTAGCTGCCCAAATCAAATTTAACAGAGTGGTTTACAATATATTTCCCATACACTGCTGTCCCTGTGTATCGGACCACGTACCAAGTTGGTTTATTTTCTGCACTGACTGGGATAATAAAGACGAATTCCAGTTATTACAGAGACTGTGATAACCTAATGACACAATATTGTAATGGTATACAGAAATGGCTGAGTAGCCTAACTTCAGACTGATTGATAATATTCTAATGATATATGGTATTAGGGGTTAGTAATCGAGAGATTAACTACTCGGCAATATACAAGGGGAAAATTGACGACATTTATTAACATAACAAGTCTACAATCAACCCTCTAGACAAGGATTTAAATGGATTTAAACATCTGCGAGATTTAAAAATTTAAAGATGAAATGGACAATCGAGGCTATGTCTCGGTTGTCAAGTACCGTTGCAACGACAATGAATGATATACGCTTTATCTTCAAACGGTGATAACTTTGCCCAGAATAAAGTATTTGAATGACATTTTCAATACAAATAATATTCATACTTCAATATCTATTATAGCAAGAACGCCCAGCTCTTTATCTTAATCTTATATAATGCATCTTTAAAGGGACTGGACCATCTGTTTCTACATTTTAGACAGCTACTGGCAGAAAATAGAAATTCAAACAGTCTTCCTCGATTCTAGGCCAAAAAGTCAACACAAATTTCTATGCAAATTGCTAAGAGAGAATTGCTACATGTATAGATGCACTACAAATCGTCATCGAGAAAGGGGAAGTAATTACTAGATTGAGTAATATTATTAATTACGAATTATGGAAAAACGTAACTGCTTGATTATTACATCTCGAAACAAATTACTTTGGAGGAGTTGAACGGGACAGCAACCGAGTGGACCACTATTCGTCACGGCGAACCACCTATAATTGGATTCTTATATAATAAACTCAGCAATATGAATATAAGAAGACCAACCATGGCCTACTCTATTTACTTCTAACACTTGTTAATTCATCAAAATCATACATTGCCCCATATAACTATTATACGTCATAATTATGTGTACACATGTACATACGTGTCATTATTACGTTAAACACACACGTTTATGTAATTTACTTAGGTTTAAATACCGAAGTAGTTTATATATGATGCCCGTTCAAATTAATATGGAAAATGATTTTATTTGTTGAAAGGGCATATTTTTTGAATTTATAAAGACGTCAAATTAATCTGGGAATTGTTTTTGCTTGTTGAAAGGGCATATTTTTTGAATTTATAAAGACGTCAAATTAATCTGGGAATTGTTTTTGCTTGTTGAAAGGGTATAATGTTTTGAATTTATGATTTTACTTAGCTCCCCGTAGTAGCATTTTTCGGCCATAAACGTCATCTTAGTCGGTATTATTTCTGTGGTGAACCGAACAGTATGCCACCATCCTCACAAACTAAGAACAGTCTTTTTCAACTTTCTAAATTTTAAATTTGTTGATAAAGATCACGACTGGTGATAATACTAGGTTGACGACGATGATTCGAACATTTAGCTATAATGCTGATTATCGGCGATGGGTGATACAACTTTTATCATGAATAACCAAACGCTTAACAATAATAACAGAACGTCAAGGTGGAAAATAATAATCCTTATTGATATATTAGAGTGATTGCCCCTGATCATTTCAATAGCCCGATACTTAACAATGCACAGCCTTTATTCAATTTTAATAAACCTGCTCCTATGTACACGTCTCTCTCTGCATTTTATAAAAGGTGGCCTTGAGATTAGGCAGATTACATTAGTGCGGAGAAGTGAGTGACTCGAGCTGAAAGAGGGTCTTGTTTTCAAGACTTCGTTGATTTGTACAGGGACCTGTGACATCAACTCAGCGCTATGTAGAGAGAGGGTGGGAGAGGGGGTTTTATCGTCCACCCCATACAAACTAGGCCATTTAGGGGCTAACATATAGTTCAGTTGTATGTCAATAATTCGCTTGCGCACTTGACTCAATGATATACCTTATGCGCACGTTTTATTAACCTAATTGCCCTACCCGCTTTTCAATATCGATTTTTTTGTCAGTTCGATTTTGGTTTTCTTTCGTTTTAAATTCCATATTTCATATTCTATCAGAGTTATTTCACTTAAAGTCTGAAATATTGTGTTATTGTGTCGTGTTGATAATTCTGAAACCACAGCATTTCCAATGACGTCAAAACATCGTCCATTGACCTATTTATAAACTCATTGCCAGGGCTTGGGAGATAAAAACCTAAGAGCATAAAGACGATGACGCAAAAGTGATGATGTCACCAGCATGGCCTTGGCAAGATCAAAGCATTAATGGCTACGTGGTCAGACTGGGCACGCTCGTCATCTTAATGTATAAACCTATTTTAGTACCCGGAGCGATTCCTTTGTATGAAATTTACCTTAGACGCCACCGTGCAAAAGGCAATGTGTCGTTAATTAAGGAAATGGAATTGAACAGGCCTAATAATCGATATGGCGTCTTCTACCCATGCTAGCCCAAGCCTATTATATGGCTTCTCGCAAGTGTTTTAAGAAACACTTGTCTCCAATATCACCCAAGGTAGAAGCGGACGTAAAGCCTTAAACAATAACAAGTGACGATGTTTATTAGTATAGTAAATCTTTCTTAACACTTTATCAAACATAACCTCGAATATTCCCAAATGCGTATTTTTTTTTCCTTTCAATTAGAGGGCGTCACGGCTTAATTTATACAGAGGTGACAGACTACATTTCAATAATTTACGGTCACAATTTAAAACATCAAAGAATTTTACCCCAAACTTCAAGACGATAAACATACTCAAACATTGAATGTAATTCAAGATTCTATGTCAGGAAAAAATGACAATTGGAATGACCGTCTTGACCCAGACAGACACTACTCCAGGTGATTGTCTGGACCAGGTAATTATACCTTATAACGTCCACAGTACGACGTCCCCGTACATTGACCACTGGAGTCAGAGGTCACGAGAGGTGACAGGTCAACCAATACTAATAAAACAGGTATGACTAACCAGCGATTTTATTGGTTATAACATGCCTCAATGATTCTATCTTGTTAACCGGTTTTTAAAAATCTCTTAAAGGGTGCGTTCCTTAATCCATTTTATCGTCTTGAAAATAATACATACATTTCAAGTCAATAGGTTTATTAACCTATTGTCAGCATCAATGTAAATAAGTGCAATAGTTCATAAAACTAAAATATCTATGCTTTGATACAACCCATCCACGTAAGGAAAAAGAATGAAATGGGGTTTAACACCCTACTTTTCTACCCCGACTGGGCTAATGAACACGGGCATACGCCATACCGTGTGCTATGAGGGACATTTTATCCGGACAGCCGCTCCACGGCCTACCCCTATATCAAATTCCAACTGTTTTTTACGTGCATGCAAAGTAGTATACAGGACCTCGGTTTTTCGTCCCATTAGAAGTACTATACGTTGTTCCTTGCCAGGCCGTCTATCCTGCTCCATAGACAGGGGTGATCCACGGCGAAAAATCTCGAAGAACTTTCTCGGTCAATGCAGAGATCGAACACGGGACGTCAGGGTTAACGATCCAACAAGACCTTACTCACCGAGGCACCGTGGCTGCCAGTCACCATTTCTTAAACTTTTAACAGAATATAAAGTCTATTCATATATGATCATGAGTTGTCAACCATCTTCAATAGAAGGCTAGATCTCGCCTTAACTACGTACATCTTGTAAAACTCGCGGTCGTTGCTTTAGGAACATGCTTGTGAACAGGATTGTAAATGTAAGTCATTCCATTGCGTTCCCCGTTAACATCCACAAATGAAAGCGGGTCCAGTACGTAAACTGTTAAAATAGCAATAGTGTTATTAATTTATACAAACCAACCATGACCAGTGATATATTATGACCATTTTCAACATTTATGGAACTGACAAACATCAGTGTTTGAAAACTCTAATTCCTACACTAGTTGGATACCACAGTAACGTTTCTGTACAATAAGTGACAGCAGGTGGATGGCCGAATGGTTAGCGCGTGTACCTGGCAAAGAGTAGGGTCGCCTATCCAGCCTCGTGGATTTTCTCCGGGTCCTCCGGTTTCCTCAAACTGTTAATGACCCCAACGCGCAAGCGAATAATTGAAATAAAATTAAACTATATGTTAGTAGCGAAATTACCTAGTTTGTGTCGAGTGGACGTCAAACTCAATTTATCTCCCTCACACACAATAAGTGACATTATAGAGAGATACGTAATTGGTATTATTAAAGAACACCTCGATTACCGGATCTTAGCTTGTTGGAATTTCTAAATTAATAAACATCTATTCAACATTTAGTTTGATTAAAAGCTGATTTATGACAACATATTATTCTGGCTGGGTTAGACTTGTTGCTGCTTGAAATCGTGAACGACCCCACACAATTATAATGCATCAAACTTAACAACACTACTGCTGCACAACGAATGGGTTGTTCCAAATCAAAACCCAGTAATCACGTGTATAGTAAATTGTTATATTGGCATTTAGTAACTGAACTGGAGTATACAGGTTATAATAATTCTATGGAATACAATTACTGCTTATTACTGAGCGACGTTTCGACTAGGCTTCTCTAG